ATGAGATCTATCTAGCAACCTTCCCACACTGCTCACCCGGGCCTGAGAGCCTGTCAGCTTGTCAGCTGCCAGGCTTAACCCTTACTGCAGACCTCAGGCTCAGCACAAAAAAGGCCAATTCTGACTTCTGTAGACTATATTTTAATTAACCAAATAGCATTGAGATATTAAATGATAATTAGCCCATTTAGATTAAGCTGGTCATTTCCAAACTCAATTCTTTTAAAAGTCTAAGAGTGCCCCAATCATCCAGCGGCTCCCAGCAGAATTGTAAATATATTCTTTGTATTTCTCTGTTTTGCCTGGAGCTGGGCATGTCACTTGAGGCAATCTGTGTTTGATAAGTGACTGAATCCTTATTTCTGATGGTCAGCAGATTCTGCTGTTACTGATCTTGTGGAAAAGCCAATCCATCGAGTAGATTTCATGCAAGATTTATTTATTTATTTAGCTGAGCCATCCTGTTACCTATTGGCAATTCAGCGGCAGCTCAGCTCGGGCCTGGCATCGAACTGCTGTTGCCCAGAGCTCAAACTCTTGAGCGAGATCTTAACCAGTTGAACCACTCGGCCGGCCCTCATGCAAGATTTAAATGCACATAGATCATAATTGAAGTATGTCACAGTCTTTGTTTTGTCTTGTTTCAGCCGATTGTGAGGCAAAGGAAGCACTTTAATTCACTGCACATTCCGAAAGCCCTGCAGAAGGCTCTGCCCTTTAGGAACAAGCCCAAGACCCAGGCAAAGGCAGGCAAGGTGCCGAAGGACAGGCTGCGGCCAGCCGTTGTGCGGGAGCCTCACGAAAGGAAGGTACGTCAGTGGCAGCTTCCTGAACTGCATTCAGATGTGAAAATAGTGCTTTCAGCAGCACCTTTGGCGTTTCTACTGTCTTCTCAGTCTTCATCAGGAAAGGATAAGGGCCAGAATTAGTCAGGGCACTGGAACTGGAAGTTAGGGGAAAGACCAGAGTCCACCCATTTCCCTCCTCACGTTTAGTCCCACTCTGCCTTGTGTATGTGACTGGGGATCAGCAGGCACCGAGCTGGCGGGTCCCTCTGTCCTGAGCAGCTATGCACAAGGTCCAGGCAGTTTTGTGGTGAGGGCTGATATTTAAGGATTTTGCCTAGTAAATGGGCTCCTACTTAATTTCTCCATGCAAATTAATGATTTTGTAGTTCACAATAAATTTTCACTAGGTTAATGTTCATTTCGATCATGAATTGATCCTGGTTTTGCAGTCTGCTGAGGCGTTAGGGCCCCTGGCACTTGGCAGGCAAGACTGCTGTAACTGTGAGAACACAGGTGCTCACTGGTCCTGTCCCCTCAGGTCCTCGCACTGCTGGACGCGCTGAGCACCGTGCATGGGCACAAGGTGAGGAAGGCCAAGGAGCAGCAGCACCTGCACAACAGAGAGCACTTCAGGCTGAAGCAGAAGGAGGAAGAGGAGAAGTTGAAGCGACAGAAGGACCTCAGGAAGAAGCTCTTCCGAATTCAGGGTCAGAGAGAAAGGAGAAATCAGAAGTCCAGCCTGAAGGGACCTGAGGAGCAATTGAAGTGAGCTGCAGACACAAAGATTCACTGGGATCTGCAGAGAGGGCGGCTTCCTGCATGATAGTGCTTGTGAAGGACAGGTCAGCAGACTGGAGCCCATGAAGACTGCTGGATGTGCTGCCCAGACTGCGTCTTTAAGAGTAGAAATGTGCTGATAGGACACCTGTCCATTTGGAGCATCTAGGTTATGCCAGGATTGAAAGCGACATAATTTATGGTTTTGTAGATTCACATTTCTTACCTGTCTCAGTGTAATTTTTTGTGCTATAAAAGTATCATTAAATATTTTCCTGTTAATTTTGGCTTAGTAGTAGTGTTCATTAGGAGTGAATGCTTGAAGATTGTGGATAATTACTTATTCTTCCTTGATGATGAGTCTTCCAGAAAGGGGAAAAATTGTAACTTGAAACCTCAGCTTTGAAGAAAATTTTAGAGGAGGGTGTATGGTAGAGTGCACAGCCAGGTTGCCTAGAGGCCACGTGACATGCAATGATGCAACAGCTGACTGCAGATGGGAGAGTCCAGCTCCTTCCAATAGCCAGACTTAAAGAGACTTGGAAAATGTAATACGGTGCTACTTTTGTACAAATTGCTTTTGCTTTGGAAAATATTCTTCACAAGAAAATGCTATTTATGTTTCCATATAACAGGCCACTTTAGTTAAAACAAGTTAATAGAAAATACTTAAAATTTTTCTTATCTCTAATTTCTTGCATAGTAAGAATTGATAGATATAACCCATCTAGTCTCCGAGGTCCTTATTTTTAAGAGTGTAAAGATGCTGAGATCCAAATTTCTGGGAACCACTGCCCTGAGCCCCCTCCTGTGGTAGCCCTCACGCTGCTCACCACCATGTACCCAGAACCTAACACTGGTGTTGGGTATCTCATAGATGTGCAACAAACAGGGATGAAGAAATGCCTTCTCTGTGACAGTGCTTCGATTTTTCCATCCCTGCCAAGATTCTGTGGCCCAGCAGTAAGTGCGCAGGAAGACGGGAGCTGCTGCCAAGTGTTCTGACGCCTCCCTGTGCCACTCTGAACACACTTCACTTGCCTAAGACCTTAGATGCAGTCGATGGCTTGCCAGTCGTAAGGGCAGAGGGCTTGAGTGTGATAATGTGCTTTAAAAACCGTAAGTTCTGGCAAAGTTAACATGATAAGACCTTAGTAGGGAAGTTGTTACCTAAGTGGAGCTATTTCATCAACGTCTTCCGTTTCATTTCCCTCCTGTGGAATCCTGACTGGAGAGAGAGAACAGAAGATGGGCCCAGTGCAAAGGGCTGATGCCACCTTCTGCTGAGGGACGCAGCCAGAGCCCCAGCCCGAGGGCCTGCATAACCAGACTTTGCCCTCTAAACGATGCCCTCTGCGTGCCCCCGAACAGAAGTACAGTGCTACCACATTAACAAAACAGAAAAGGCAACAGGTGAAATGAATTTTAATATTTTTATTTTTAGGCCAATATATCTAAAATATTGCAACACATAATCAATGTAAAAATAATTGGAGGGAGCTCAGGGATAAGTCCTAGAAGGAGGCTGGTGAGTGCTGAAGGGAGAATTGGTGGGTGCTGGGGCTTGAGGAGTTAACACCAGAGGTATCAGCTATCCTGTGTCCAGGGCTTGTGAGGAACCAGGTGTAGGGAAGATAGAGTCGGTCAGGGCTCCCTCACCTGGCCATTCGGTGGAACTGCCGTAGCGGCCCACCAGGTATGGAAGATGGAGTGTTGCACAGGTGCCGTCCATCTTTGAGGATGTCACTGTTTATGTGCCTTATGTAAGCACTTTGGCTGTGCACCACTTTTGTTCTCGCACAGTATAAAACCCGGCCATTTGTACAAGGCGTGGTGGTACCTAGAGAGCCAGTGAATAAAGCACGTCTACTCTGCCCTCGGCTCCAAGCGTCTTCTTCCAGCTCCCAGAGTCCTGGGAACTTGACACTGGGACCGTCACACTCCCCAACGTCGGAGGTTGTAGGAACAAAAAAGTTGGTCAGGCTCCCTTACCTGGCTGCCCTGCAGCAGTGCAGCGACCCGCCGGATGCAGGTATTGGAATGCTGCGCAGGCGCCGTCTACCTTACAGTTTATGTTTCTGTGCCTTATGTAAGCACGTTGGCAATGTGCCGCCTTTGTTCTCATGCTGTATAAAACCCGGCCATTTGTACCAGGCCAGTGGTGCCTAGAGAGTCACTGTATGAAGCATGTCGCTTCCTGAATAAAGCATGTCGCTTCCTATGGCTCCATGTATCTTCCAACTCCCAGAAGCGCTGGTACCCTCAACCGGAAGCAAGGCACTCCCGGACACTTGGCGCAGCGAGCAGGGTATCCCCAGTAGTCCCAGTCAGGTAAGGGCGTTGTCCGCCCCTGGGCAGGAGGACTCATGGCCACCACACAGCATGTGGCACCCGGTGGCCGCTGTTCTCACGAGTTGGGCCCCCATGGAGGGGTAGGAAGGCGTGGACAGTTCTCCGGTCAGTGTAGCTACAAGCTGTGGGCGAGCAGTTGCTGGAAGAGGTGAGAGCGCCAGCCAGCCGAGTGGGCTGGATATTTCTGGCAGTGTCACGCGTTCCATGGAGGCAGAGGCGCACATCGAAACAGCGAGTTAGGGACGTGCAGTCCTGGGAGGAAGCGCTAGAGACGCGGGTTTGCCAGCTTGAAGAGGAGCAGCAGTGGCCTGGGGGTTGAAGCGGAACCCCCTCCAGAGTCCTTGGCTGGAGATGCGGGTGAGAGCGAAGCCACTCCTCATCCCCAAGCCCGACCCATTGTGCACCAGAAGGTGAAGCACGAACAGCCGCTGGGTGGGGGACGAGTGGGGAGTGGCTGCTGGCCACCCCATGATGACTGAGTTCACAACGTGCACTCCCTACACCCCAACTGAGCTGCGGGAATTGGGGAAGCAATGTCGGCAGCGTCCCTGAGAGCCGATTCCGGCGTGGTTGCGTTTGTGGGATGAGGGAGCAGACAGCATTATTTGCTTGGCAGACAAAATAGAGAAGCTGGCCTTTATAATGGTGCACCCATCCCTGCGGCAGCGGCTGCAGAACAGCCACCGATTTGCCCAAGGTCAGGGCAATCACTCCCTGATGGAGGGGCTCATTGCTGCAGTGTGCACAGTGTGGACTGATAACGGGCAAGTTTCCTGAAAACATCAGTAAGTGGCAGTCATATACTGAACTTGTGCCGATTGTTCCTGAGCTGGGCATGAGACATGTCATATTTGATCCCAATACACGGGAGCCGGACGATGAGCGGTTTACGGCCAGCATGAGGGATCTGGTCCTGGATACTGCCCCCACCCCCACCCCACCCTGCGAATGCTTTCGGTTCCTTGGTTGCAATTCTTCCACCCTAGGTGGGGCGGGGGATTCATGAAGTAACTACTGCCATGGCAACCTTGGGAGATGTGGAGAGCTGGAGGCAGGGCAAATTAGGACATGATGTCCGTAAGAGAACAACCACAAAGCCCAAGGTGGAAGTGCATGGGTGAGTTTGAGGGCCCCAAAAAGTGATGCGCATGCAAATGTGGAACGACCTCATAGCGGCAGGGGTCGGTCAGGAGAAAATAGACCGGCAACCCAATGCTGTTTTGCTGGAGTTGTGGAAAGCAGTTGTACCTGGGGCAGCAATTTCCACGGAGTCCCAAGGGGAAGCCCGGGAAGCCCGGGAAGGGACGGCCTGTGGTCCTGCAAGAGTTCATGCGCTCTCCTGAGACCGGCTCCTTCCCTTTTGACTAGGGAGGAGGCCAAGGTACCGGGTCGGAGGTGATGAGCAGGGACTGGAGGCCCCATGTGAAACTGTCTATACACTGGTCTGCCAATGCGCAAAGAGTACTGGCCCTGGTTGATACCAGCGCAGATTGCAGTCTGCTTTGTGGGAACCCAGAACTGTCCTCTGGACCTGTGGTCCATATTGACGGAAAAGGGGGAAGGACTGTGAAGGTGAAAGCTGTTTCCTCGCCACTGGGCATTGGCTAACTGCCTCCCTAACCACCCCCACCCCCTACAGTGTATGTCTCCCCTGTACCTGAGTATATTCTAGGGGTGGGTGGACGTGTTGTACAGCCGCAGTTTGCAGACTTCCCATCGGAGTGTTCCGACTCCAAATTCGAGTGGTCAAAGCGGTGCTGCGTGGGCATGCTCACCATCCTCCTCAAGTGTTGCCACAGCCCCAAGAGTGGTGACAGTGTGACAGTATTGCCTGCCAGGGGGGCATGAGAAGATAGGCTGGACAGTGTTAGAATTGGAGAAGACACATATCATGAGGCCAATGCAGTCCATTTAATTCCCCAGTCTGGCCAGTGAAGAAGCCAAATGGGACGTGGAGAATGACTGTGGACTATAGAGAACTGAACCTTGGCATGCTGCTGTGCCCTAGATCCATAATGTGATGGACTGGCTGGCTGTTTGCCTGGGCACTTTCCGCTGTGTAATAGACTTGGCAAATGCCTTCTCCATTGACATTGCGCCTGAGAGCCAAGAGCAGTTTGCGTTCATGTGGAATGGATGTCAGTGGACATTTTTGGTCCTCCCACAGGGCTATTTGCATAGCTCCACTGTGTGCCATGGGTTTGTAGCCCAAGATTTAGCTCGATGGGAGCACCCACCCCCTGTGGCCCTGTTTCATTATGTTGACGATGTGTTATTAACCTCTGATTCTCTTTCAGATTTAGAGCAAGCAGCTCCCTCTCATCTTCGCCACCTGAAGTCACGTGGCTGGGCAGTGAAATGAGGAAAAGGTCCAGGGCCCTGACTTGTCTGTCAAATTTTTGGGTGTTGTTTGTTTGAGTAAGACAAAGGTTATACCTGAAGCCATTGTTGACAAAATATAGGCCTTTCCCAAACCAGCCAAAGTCCCAGCTGCAAGCTTATCTGGGTTTGTTGGGATACTGGCGGGTGTTTGTGCCCCACTTAGCACAAGTGGCAAGGCCCTTGTACTCCATGGTGAGAGAAGGAGCCTCGTGGGACTGGACTGAGGCCACAGAGCAAGCATTTGTTGCTACAAAACGGGCAGTGCAGCAGGCACAAGCTCTACAAGTGGTAGACCCTAGTCGCCTTGATGTTCATGTGACCCAAGAGGGGTATGGTTGGGGCCTCTGACAACGGCAGGAATGTCTCTAGTTGCCAGTAGGGTCTGGTCCCACTTATGGAAAGGAGCAGAAGTCTGCTACTCCCTGATAGGGAAGCAGTTGGCTGCTGTGTATGCAGCTTTGGTAGCTACAGAAGCCATCACAGGTACAGCAAAGGTGTTGGTGAATACTGCATATCCCATCCAAGGTTGGGTACGGACATGGACCCAGGGACCCAAAACAGGGGTGGCACAGACCACCACCATCTCCAAGTGGGGTGCTTACCTGGAGCAATATAGCACCCTCAATTCAAGTCCTTTGGGTGCAGAGTTGCAGCAAGTCTTAGGGCCTGTGGAGCTTGTAGCTCAGGCCGCACCAAGCACTCTGCCCACAGGGGAGGGTTGGAGCCTTCGCCCTACAAGGGATGGCCCTCAGTACCTGAAGATGACTGGTATACTGATGGCTCCTGCAGAGGGACCCGTGTGGACGGCCATTGGAGTCCAGCCTAAGACAGATACCATTTGGTTTGATACTGGGGTGGGCCAGAGTAGCCAATGGGCTGAGCTCATGGCTGTATGGATGGTATTCAGCCATGAACCAGGGCCCCTAGTCATTTGTACAGACAGTTGGGCCGTGTTCTGGAACCTAATGTTGTGGCTCCCCACATGGAAGCACCAGAATTGGTTAGTAGGACACTGTCCGTTGTGGGGTCAGGCCATATGGCAAGACCTCTGGGACTTAGGGCAAGGAAAGGAGGTGACTCTTATGCATGTTACAGGGCACTTGCCCCTAATGTCCCCAGGCAATGATGACACAGATGCCTTAGTGCCGGTCTGATGGCGGGCCCCCGCCACTGATGTGGCCCACTGGTTGCATAGGATATTGCAACACGCTGGTACAAGAGCCATGTGACAAGTGAGCAAACAATGGGGCCTGCCTTTGAAGTGGCAAGAGATAGCAGATGCCTGCCACGACTGTGTCATTTGTGCTCAAGACGAGCCCCAGTGGAGAAAGCTCCTCTGGGAAACACAGCAGCTCACACGAGGGAGAGTGCCCCTCACACACTGGCAAGTTGATTACATAGGCTCCTTGCCAAGAGCTAGCAACGCTACTTATGCTTTCACAGCCATTGATATGGCTACGGGTTGTTGTTTGCTTGGCTGTGTCTGGCAGCAGATCAACAGCATACTGTGGCCTCTCTTACGTGGCTCTGTGCCCTCTACGGGTGCCCCCAAGTTATTCAGAGTGACAGAGGCACTCACTTTACGGGACAAGAAGTGCAGTGCTGGGCTGCCAGGATGGACATACAGTGGTTGTTCCACACCCTGTACAACCCACACGCAGCTGGTACAATTGAACGCTGCAACAGCCTTTTGAAGCAAGGCCTTCAGGTGTTGAGACACCCGCTTATGATGCACGACTGGGCTTCGCACTTATGGGAGGTTTTGAGAACCTTGAATGAGAAGCCTCGGAGGGGAGGGCCCTCACCAGTGGAGGCTTTGCTGCATGGCACAGCTGCTCCTGTACAGTTGCAGGTTAATACAAGTGAGGTCCTGTTGAAGCCAGCATACGTCAGAAGTGGGAATATTCTGCTGCCAGCGCCTACATGCTTGAAAGCAGGAGAACAACAGCAATGGACTTGGCCCTGGTGAGTCAAAAGCTCCCACTGTCATTGGCTGGGCTTGGTGGCCCCATGAGGGGCTGGGTTAACCCATGAGTTGCAAGTGACGCCAGGAGTAGTGGCCAAGTGGCCACCACAAGTAGTGTATGGAGGTCCCGATGTGGGGACGATTTTGAGAGAAACCTTTGTACTTTCCATGTGGCCTATTATGGGGTCTCCTGTCCTGTTGCATGTTGAAACCATGCAAGGGTCCCCAAGTGATGCTGTAAAAGTGTGGAACCACAAACCTGGGAAATTGCCAATGGCGGTGACACTCCTCTCTTGAGATAAAAAGCTAGCCTGTATCCCTGATGGGAGAGATTTGCCATTGCTAGTTCCTATGACTACTGTTTCTTTCCACCCTTAGGTGCCTATGGGTTAACACAATAATGGACTGGGTCCACACCTATGCCGGTATGGCCAACGTCTTTGACTGCTGTGTGTGCACAGAGTTTCCGGTCAGCACCGCTGTGGGGCTGCTGTGGTGCATCCATCCGGCTACTGCAGAGGACTGGACTTGGTTGCGAGGATGGAACCCCTGGTACGAGGCCTGGGATGCAACCTGGCAATACGTTCTCTCATGCATGAGGGCGCAGAGAAACCACACCAAGCAGTGGCTGAGCCACGCAATCTGGGATGGATGGGGGTGGCTCATGAGTGAGAGTGTGGAGCTCACCCAGCTCATTCCTGTGTGTTTGGAACGACAGACCAGCGACAGAGATGTGGGCTGGGTGCCTGCAGCCCTTTGCCAGAACATAACCCGAGTGCCTGAAGGTCAGGTGTGGTGGAATGGCCAAAAGCAACAGGGGTTAGCCCCTACCACTTTTGTCCCAAAAGGGGAGTTTGTGGGTTTGTGGCCTGTATGGATGGCCCTACCTCCCTGCCAAGTGGACAGGGAGTTGTACATGGGGGAGGCTGTACCTCCCAGCTAGCATACGACCCACACTAGAGAGTCGGCCCCAGAATTGGGAGTTGTTTAGAGCCAAGCACCACCGCGTCAAGAGGACACCTTTGTGGTTTTATCCACTGGCTATTGTGAGCCCCCAAGCCAGTTCCATTGTAGTGGAACTGCAGGTGACTGGTCTTGCTGAGCACACCACCTGGGCCCTCAACCAGACCCACCCGGCCCTAGGCCTCCTAGCAGAGAAAGTAGACCAGATGAGGAAAGTAGTCCTCCAGGACAGAATGGCTTTGGATATTTTAACTGCTGCCCAAGGAGGCACCTGTGCTGTTGTGCATACAGAATGCTGTGTGTATATTGCTGACAATGAGAAGAGTGTAATCCAGGCGCTGTCTGCCTTAGCCACAGAGATTGATGGCATTCAACGCCTGACAGGAGACCCCTACAAGAGTGGTGGGCTCATCTGTCCTTCCCCTGGAGATGGGTTGTTGCCCTTGCGGGAGGAATAGCATATCTCCTAGTGGTGTTTTGTTGTTCCTTGTATTGTTGCTGCGGGCTTTGGGTACAGGGCTCAGTCCTGCTCGCACGATGGATACTTGGGGCGAGGACCCCAGTCCCACTGGGCATACTAGCTGGTGAGGAACCCTTAAGGGGTGGAGTGTAGGGACGAAAAAGTCGGTCAGGCTCCCTCATCTGGCCGCCCTGAGGCAGTGCAGCGACCCGCCAGATGCAGGCGGAATGCAGTGCAGGCGCCATCCACCTTACAGTATGTTTATGTTATGTATCTTATGTAAACACCTTTGGCAATGTGCCGCCTTTGTTCTCATGCTATATAAAACCCGGCCATTTGTACCAGGCCGGTGGTGCCTTGAGAGTCGCTATATGAAGCATGTCGCTGCCTGTGGCTCCGGAGCGCGTATCTTCTTCCAACTCCCAGAAGTGCGGGTTCCCTCAACTGGAGGCAAGGCACTGTCCAACAGGGGTTTTCAGGGACAACCCAGGATGCCCAGGTGTCTGACCTGCAGTGGGGACTGAGCTGGCTGGTGTGCTAAGTAGAGTGATGAGCTCAATTTTAGGGCATAGTACCTGTGAGGTGGCCACATGGAGACACCTGAGGAGAGTTAGAAATACTGTTTGAAGCTCAGGTTGATACACTATCTGGGCTTAAAATGCTCTCCTGACAGGCATCAACACCTGTCTGGAATGGGCAGAATTATCTAGGGAGGGGTCAAGATTGAACTCTGGTTGTTCTCAGTTCAGCATTGTTTCCATTAGTTCAGTATCTTCACACACCTCAAAGATCAAATCCAAGCCATGTACGCAGACCAGTGCCCAGGTGATCCTGCTCAGGTCCACTTGACTGAAAGCTGAGGAGGTTCAGCTAAGCAAGGGTGTGCACAAAGCCAGCCACGGACATGACATCCACAAAGAGGGAAGCATGTCTTTCCAATGTCTTAAGAGTACCTAGTAACATGCACGCTTGACTATCAGTGCTGAGATGCAGGGAGGGTCTGGGTAGAGGGCTCCAGGATCTGCCACTCATTAGGATGTGACTGAGCAAGTGCCCAAGAATCTCTGAGGTTCAAGCTTCTTGTCTGTAAGATGGAGATAATAAACCCTTCTTGCAGTTTGTGAGGATTTGATGAGACTACATGCAAAGTAACTGGTACAGAACAGGTTTTTACATTTTGTATTTCCCCTCTAGTCTCATTTGAAAGCAGTATATAGGTCTGTGAATAGATTCATGTAACCGCCAGCAGTCAGAATACTCAGGAGGCCCCTCCCTCTAAAGCACTCCTTCATACTGTGGCCCAGCCCTCCCCCAACCCCTGCTGACTACTGATCTGTTTTTCATCATCACAGCTTTGTCATTCTGAGAATATCACGGAAGTGGAACCATGTGGTAGGTGATCTTTTGCAATTGGCTCATTTCACTAAGCATCATGCCTTTGAGATTCATCCCAATTGTTCTGTGTATGAACGGTATGTTTCTTTCGATTACTAAATAGTACCCAAATGTACAGAGAGACCACAGTTAGTTATCCATTTGTCAATGGAAGGACATTGTGGTCGTTTGCAGCTTTGGTCAATTATGAATGTAGCTGCTATAAACATTTGTAGAGGGATTTCTGTGTGAACATAAGTTTTATTACTCCAGGGTGAATACCCAGGAGCAGGACTGTGGAATCACGTGGTTTCGTAGAATTGTCAGACATTCCCAGAGTGGCTGTACATTTTGCATCCTCCCAGCAATGAAGGAGGGTTCCAGTATGCTGCTGCTTCATCAGCACTTGGTGCTGCTATGCAGATAATGCGGGGTGAGGCGGTTAGCAGAAAGTCCGTCTGTAACTTTTGACTCCCCCAAAGCATAGCCACTAATAGCCTTACCAATAACACAAACAGTTGATTAACACATATTTTGTATGTTATATATATTATATGCTGTATTCCTACAATAAAGTAACTTAGAGAAAAGAAAATATTAAGAAAAATAAAGAAAATACATACACAGTAATTATTGAAAAAAATCCACGTATAAGCCAACCTGTGCAGTTCAAAACCTGTGTTGTTCAAAGGATCAAATACACTTGTTATTTTAACTGTTCTAGTGGGTTTACAGTAATACCTCATTGTGGTTTTAATTTGCACTTCCCTAATGACCAATAATATGAGCATCTTTTCATGTGCTTACTTACATTTCATATACAGTGTCCTCTTTGGTGAAGTTTATGTTTAAGCATTTTGCCTACTTTTTATTTAAATTGTTTTCTTATTATGATTTTGAGAGTTCTTTATATGCATATACTCATATTTTGGAGTAAGTCTTTTGTCAGATATGTGATTTGCAAATATTTTCTTCTAGTCTACTGCAGTGTTTTCATTCTCTTAACAGTGTCTTCTGCAAGATTTTTAATATTTATCAAGTCTAATTTGTTATTTTAAAAAATTTTATGGATTATGCATTTGGTGTCATGTTTAAGAACTCTTTTCCAAACTCCAGGTCATGAAGATTTTCTCTTATGTTTTCTTCTAAAAATTTTATAGCTTTATGATTTTTATTTTGAATAACTTTTATATAAGGTATAAGATTTAGGTTGGAGTTCTTTTTTTTTTAACTTATAGACAACAAATTGTTCTAATACCACTTGTTGGAATACTGAAAGACAATTCTTTCTCTGTTGAAATACCTTTGTATCCTTGTCAAAAATCAGTTGGGCATATTAGTGAGGGCTTATTTCTGGGCTCTCTGTTTCGTTTCATTGATCAATGTGTCTATCCCTTTGCCACACAATCTGGACTACTGCAGCTTTATATTAAGGCTTAAAATTGGGTAGTGTGATTCCCCTAAATTTATTTCTCTTTTTTAAAAATTGTTACAGGTATTCTACAGCCTTTCCCTTTTGATATAAATTTTAATAAGCTTGCCTACATTTACGAAAAAATCCCACTGTAATTTTGATTTCATTAAATCTATAGATCAATTTGGAGAGCACTGATGTCTCTATTCTGCAAGTCTTTTGATCCATGAACGTGGCATATCTCTCCGTTTACTTAAGCCTTCTTTGATTTCTTCCATCACCATTTTATAGTTTTCAGCATACAGATCCTGTGCATGTTTTGTTAGATTTATGCCTAAGTTTGTATTTTTTTAACACTTTTGGAGCCATTGCAGATAATACTGATTATTTAGTTTGTTTTCAAGTTGTTCACTGCTAGTTTTTAGAAAAATGATTGCTTTTTGTGTGTTGAACTTATATCCTGCAACTTTACTAGACTCGTTTATTAGTTCTAGGTCTTTTTTTTTTTGGCAGATTTCTTGAGATTTTATACATAGGCCATCATGTCTGCAAAAAGGCACATTTTTTTCTACCTTCCTTTCCAACTGTCTGCCTGTTCTTGGTGTATTGCACTGGCCAGGACTTCCAGTATAAGGTGGAATTGGAATGGTGAATATAGGCATCTTTGGCTTGTTCTCAACTTTTTTGTAGATGTTCTTTCTAGTTTGAGAAAATTCCTTTCTATGCTTAGTTAGCTGGGAATTTTTATTGTGAATGGATGTTGAATTTTGCCAAATGGTATTTTGGTGTCAATTTATATAATGTGTTTTTTTTTCATTTTTAGACTGTTAACATAGAGTCCATTGATTTCTTTTTCAAATATTGAACCACCATTACATTCCTGGGATAAACCTCTCTTGGTTGTGGTATATTGTTCTTTTGATATTTTACTCGATTTGATGCACTAATGCTTGAAGATTTTTAAATATATCTTTATATCTTTAATAGTTACAGGGGCTATTCAGATTATCTGTTTCATCTTGAGTGAATTTTTATAGATTATAAAATGGAATTTATTTAATCTAAGTTGTCACATTTAGAGGCATAGAATTATTTGTAGGATTCTCTTACTATTATTATCTTTGAGGTCTTTCATTCTTGATATTTGTAATTTGTGTCTTCTCTACTTTTGTTCTTTGTCAGTCTTGCTGGAGGTTTATTACGTAATTTTATTGATTTTTTTCAAGGAATGAGCTTTTTGTTTCATTGATTTTCTCTATTCTTTAGCTGTTTTCAATTTCATTGTATTCTGCTTTTTATTATTCCTTTCTTGTACATGCCATGATTTTATTCTGCTCTTTTTTTTCTAATGTCTTAAGGTTGAAGCTTAGGTTAATAATTTGATATTATTTTGTCTAATATAAGCATTTAATGCTGTACATATACCTGTAAGTATTGTTTAGCTGCAAGTCACAACCAGCCTTCTAATGGGTTGTGGTCACAATGTTAGTTCCATTTACAAAGCCCTGGCAGTGTTGTTTGGGTCAGTCCCAGGTGTCTCTGCTCAGTGGTCTGTGTAGGATCTGGATGCTGATCTATCTCTTAGGTCCATGCTCAAAAGTATGCTGTTCAGTGTTGGATGTATGCATGCACAGCTCAGGGGGAAGCCCAGGAGCTCATAAACAACATTTGGAGGTCAATATCCTGAACTCCTCCAACCCTATGATTTCCCTGACACTTTCCAGTTCTCTGAGGATTTTCTTTTTCACCCTCCATCCAAGAAACTGGGGCTTTGTTTATTCCACTCTGTAGCTTCTTTGACAGGACTATGCCCACATCTAGGGTCAAACAGTAAAAGAACAGAAAGAGTAAGAAAACAATGGTTTAAAACTCCCCAAGCCCACCCTACTTGGACCACAGCCCTGCCTATCAGTAAAGGAAGTGTTTGTGGTCTGCAGAGGACAGGGGCATGAAAAAATGGAGAAAAGAAAAAAAGGGGAGGGGGGATCTTGCAGTCTCTCTGAGTGTTAGGAGACACTTTCCTGCTCCTCAGCCTGAACTGGAAGGCTTTCCTAAGCTTTCTCCTTCTGCACTGATGTCCACTTCCATGCTCAGGCTGCCTAAAGATAGCTCTGTGAGATAGTGGGGAAGAGAAATGGTAAAACTCACCACCAACTCAGTTTTACTTGAATTATTGTCTCCTTGCCAAATTCTCCTGATGTTATTTGATTTTAAAAGTCCTCAACTAGCTTCTCTATGCATTCTATCTAGATTTTATAGTTGCATTTCAGTGGGAGACACAGAGTGAAATGTGCTTACCATTTTTCCTTCAACTAAAATCCTCCCCCTCCCCACTTTTTTTCCCTTAAAATAAATTCCTACAAGGAGACCCCAAGGCCATTTTTTAAAGTGCTTTTTATTTTGAAATAATTATAGATTTATAGGAAGTTTGAAAAAAATATACAGGGAGGTTCCTAGTGCCCTTTACCCAGCTTTACCCAATGCTTTCCCCAACATCTGGCATAACGATAATATTATATCAAAATCATGAAATCAACCTTGGTGTAATCCACAGAACTCAGATTTTACAAGTTATTCATGTACTCATTTGTGTGTATGTATGTGTTGCTTTATGCAATATTATCACACATGTAGCTTTGTGTACCTACCACGGATCATAATATGTAACTGTACTATCCCCACAAGGCTTTCTCATACTACCACTATCTAGCCACACACCCTTCATCCCATCCCTAACCTCCAGCAGCCATTGGCCTGTTTTCCATCTCTGTAATTATATTACTTCACAACTTTATAGAGGCAGAATTATATAGTATGTGTCTTCTTAAAGTTGGCTTATTTCACTCAACATAATTTCCTTGAGTTCATCTAAGTTGTCACATGTATCAATGGTTTGTTCTTTACAAATACTGGGTAGTATTCCATAGTATTAGTGTACCACAACTAATTTAACCACTCACCATTGAAGGACATTTGAGAAGTTTCCCATTTGGGGGTGTTACAAATAAAGCTGCTATGAATATTCATGTTAAAGATTCTGTCTAAAAATAAGTTTTCATTTCTCTAGTATGGAAGCCCAAGGTTTCATTTTTGGGTCATATGGAAAGTCCATTTTTAGCTTTAAAAGAAACTGCCAAACTATATTTTCAAAGTGGTTGTACCATTTTACATTTTCACCAGCAATGTATGAATGTTCTGGCTCTCTGCATCCTCATCAGCATTTGGTGTTATCATTTTTTAAAGCAATTTTAATAGACATGTAGTCTTATCTTATTGTGGTTTTAATTTCCACTTCCCTAATGGCTAATGATGTCAGACATCCTTTCATGTGCTTACTTGGCATCTATATATCCTCTGTGGTTAAATTTCTCTTCATATCTTTTGTATATTTTTAATTTTGTTTATTTAATGTTGAGTTCTGATAGTTCTTAATATATTCTACTCATAAGTTCTTTGTTAGGTATGTGACTTGCAAATATTTTACCCTAGCATATAATTTGTTTTTTTTCATCATCTTAATAGAATCCATGCAGAGCAAAAAATTTTCATTTTGATGCAGTCCAACTTATCAGTTTTTTCTTATATGGATGTACTTTTGGTGTCAAGTCTAAGAGCTCTTTGCCTAGTCCATTCCTTTCCCTTCCCTTCCTTTTTCTTCCCTCCCTTCTCCTCCCCTTCTGCCAGTGCCTTGATCTTTAACTTCCCAGCCTCCAGAACTGTAAGAAAGAAATTTCTGATGATTAAGTCACCCAGTTTATAGTATTTTTGTTATAGCAGACCAAATGGACTAAGGAAACCCAGGAACTCAGTGCAGTGTCACCCCTGTAGTCCTATGTGTCCCAGTCAGTCTGCCTTCCTCTTTCTACCTTATAGAGTCCTGTTGTGATTGTCTCTTATGCAGTGTCCAGTGCATTTAGTCATATTTAGAGGGAAGGAGGAGGGGCAGATGAGCCCACACCATCTTGTTATGGAACACCCAGGCAATTTTTCAAGCATTTGGAACATGTAGACACAATGTCTGTACCCTGGGAAGAGCATAGCAATTCGTATTCCCACCAGCAATGTATGCATGCATCCATTTTCTTCACTCATGAAAACATCTAATGTATGATTTTTGTTTTAAAATTTGCTTTTGGTTCCTAATAATATCATTAATTGACATGGGCTGCTGGCTGTATTCTGTGAATGCATATCTTGGAGATGCCACAAAAAGGGTTAAGTAATTGATGGAGCCCAGACCTAAGATGAAAACCATGAAAAATTCTGGGGAGGCAGAGCCCAGTGGGGTCTGGGATGGGAGGCATATTCTAGCCCATGCAGGGTCAGGCTGGAGCAGCTTCTCAATTACGGGCACCACCCCAGGTCACTGCCTGCCCAGGACTACTCTCGTGAGGAGATCCTGTTCCAGACACAGGTGTCCAGGCAATGCCAACATAGTCCAGAACCTACCTGGACTGGATACCACATCTGAGCAGGTTAGGTGGCTGCCCCATGACACCTCCCTATACACCTCCCCATGACAGTGTAGGGTAGCATCCCCTGGACAAAGGCAACACCCAGGCTAGAAGGACAGGAAGTTCCTGAGGGCCAGATCAGCCGGTGGGGATGAGCAAAAAGGGATGGCTGAACCTGGTATCTCACCCTACACTGCTCTCAGGAGCACCCTGGCCAACTTCCCTAAACTTCCTGGAAGGTGTTGCCTGGGAATAAGCCTTCCTGCCCCTCCTCCCAAGTATACTTGGCTAGTACGGTGGCTGACCTTCCCCAGGGAAATTGAGTGGCCATAAGGAAAAATAAGACACGTGAGAATACTCCTAGAGAGAAAGACCACAAACTGAACACCAGAGAGAGCAGATAGCTAGACAAGACAGAAACAGTATTTACATGTGCATAATAAATATCCACAGGAGGATATTGGAAATCTGAGGCTAGTGAGGCAGTTATGAAGAAGAACCAGCTGGGGATATTGGGTATGAACAATATAAGTGCCAAAATGACGAACTTGATAGGAAGGCTAAAGAGCAGAAGAACAAATGGACTGGGGATCAGGTTGAGGGTTCTAGAAGAGAGGAATAAGAGGCCAATGAGATGGAGAGTTAAAGAGGGACAGACATGAGATGAAGAAGCATTCACATTTGTCTGATAAGAATGCCAAAAGGAGAGGAGAAGATCAATAGATAAGAGGAAATATCTGAAAAATAACAGAATTTCCCCGGTTCCTGCCAGTGGTGAATGTGCTCAATGCTTTTAATTTTTGCCAGTCTGGTAGGCAAAAGAAATATTTCATTATTGTTTAAATTTGCATTTTTATTAGGTAACTAGTGGGCTTTAGCATATTTTCAAGTGTTTATTAGCCATTCTTATATCTTCTATGATTTGTACGTATCCTTTGTTAATGTTTCTGTTGGGTTGTTTACCGTACTGATTTTGTGAAAGCTCCTTATATATTCTGGATATAAACCCTGTGGCTCTTTATAAACCTTATAAATATTTTTCCCCAGTATAACACTTGTTTTTTGATAAGCCCACAGTGCCTTTCTTTGCACAGAGGTTTTAAATGTCCACACAATCAAATCTGGTATTTTCCTTCATGGCTGTGAGGTTTTGTGTCTTGTTTCGGTGAGTCATTCCTACCTCTTTAATTACAAAAATGACCTATTTTAAAAATCTTCCTACTATAAAAGATCTCTCCACATGCTTTCTAAATTTTTAATTTTCTTTAGCTTAAAAATATTTAATTAGTAATTATCAGTGTTACTTTTGAAATTAATATTATTGATTATTGGTTATATTTATTTACTTTTATTGACGGATTTACATTTAATTTAACTTAATTATTTGAAGTAATATATGAATATATTCAGCGTGTAAACAATCCAACAAGATAGTAGTGAAAAAGGATGTTTCCTCTTTAACACCCTCCCAAACCTCTCATCTTACTTTCCTCTCCACACTAATTGCTGATCTGTTTGATGTGTATCTTCCAAATAGCTCTCTTTCTAGTAGACACTGAGAGTCATACATTGTTATTTTCCTCCATGTAGTGTCTTTAAAAAACAAATACAAGTAGGATATTTTGTTTGGAAATTTTTTATTTTTAACTATTATTAGTGTCATGGGAGGTCTTTTTTATATCATTGCAGTGTGTGTCTGTGTGTGTGCGCATGCACGTGTGCACGCACGCACGTGTGCACGCATGTGTGTGTGATCCTTGTTTAGTTAATCTTTTTTTAAATTAAAATTTATTGGGGTGAAAATGGTCAACAAAACTACATAGGTTTCAAGTGTACAGTTCTATAATACATCATCTATACACTGCGTTATGGGTTCACCACCCAGAGTCAGTTAATCTTGTAGAATGAACTGGGGAGTTTCTCATTTTCTTCTATGCTGTAGTAATATCCATAATAGCAATCCCCTGTCTCTGGAGACAGATGGACCCCCTCTAATGCCTTGGTTACCTGTTTAGTTTGTTCTATGTGTATTGTTCTTTTCAGGTTTCCTGCCTCCTGTTAAGCCGTTTTGGTGACATGTACACACACACACACACACACACACACACACACACACACACATGCACGCACACACACACATGAGGTAGGACAATGATGTTAATGAACTCGCCCTAGAAAAAGTGCTACATACGTCATAGCTGAATATCACTATTGTTACCTTCAAAGTACTCCCCTTGGGAAGCTATGCATCGATGCCAATGCCTAGTCTACCCTTCAAAGCAATTTTGGAACTCTTTTTCTGGAATGGCCATCAGAGCTGTCATATTACCCTTGATGTCCTGAATGTCATCAAAATGTCTTCTTTTCAATATTTACTTTATCTTCTTTTCAATATTTATTTATTTAAGTCATAAATTTGATTTTTTTGATTGTCTTGCATTGTCTGATGCAAGAGCCGTGAATTGTTGGTGAAAAGTTCACATAGCCTTTTTCATGCAGCCTTTTCAGCACTTCCAAATAGTAAACTTGGTTTCTAAACAGGTTAACTGTTTGTCCAGTTGGTACAAATTCATAATGAATAATCCCTGTGATATCAAAAAAGGTTAGCAACATCATTGCAACTTGTTCACATACTTAATTGTCAGACCTCATATATTTCCTTCTAAACACCAATTTTGTTGAATTCCATCATTTTTATATAAATACTATTGTCACTGAGTTCCAAATACTTTGTAATTTTCATTGTGGAAATTAATTTTGCTTCCAAAATGCATTTTTAACATTGTCTTCTTATTGTTTCTAATTTTATTGCAACCGGGTAAGAGAGTGTGATTGGTGAGAGGTGCTGAAGTGTCCTTGCTCACCCTGCACAGTAGCAGTGCTCCCAAGCACTCTGAAGGAGGTTGATGAGAACATATAACCTCTGTTGGGTCTGGGTTCAAAGCTCTCTGTAAAAGTGAGTTAGACGTCAACTATAATTTAATATACATATAGTCACAAGATGTGGAGTACAGTGTGGGGAGTGGAGCCAATGGAATTGTAATAGCTATGTATGATATCGGGGGTAGGAGCAGTGGATTAGGGGAGAGGGGTTGTCACTTTGTGAGGGGTGAAAAGCATAACTATTGCATTGTTTTGTACACCTGAAGCTGATATAATAATAATAATAATAATAATAGTAATAATGAAACGAGTTAGAGACTTTACAATCTGTTTTCCTGCTTTGTAATAGCTTCATTGGTTTAGTTTGCTCAGATCTTTGGTGCTAGTAAGTCTTATTAACACATTCAGGCTGTTTTTGTTTGTTTAGGCTGAAGGGGTGAAGGAGTAAAGAAAGGCCAGTGTTGGCCGGGACTGGCATATTTTCATCTACCGGAGTTGTGCCTTGCCAGGTAAGTGCTCCCCTGTCTCAGATTGCTCAGTGAGCACAGCTGGTGGGAGTTGCATAGTGAGGTGCATTTCCCCTGGGTTGGGGATGGGGTGTTGGTGTCTCGCCTCTGTTTGTTTTTGGCACTGAGACAATACCCACTTCTCTGCTTCCTAACAGATCTTGTTGGTTAGCTGGCTTTCGCTTGGGATGGGCTTCTGGCCAGCCCACTGTGAGGAGATGGGACTTCCCAGGAATGAAGAGGAACGTAGGCAACTGCAAGAGCACCAAGGCCCCGGAGTGGGGGTGGGAGGGGGTGTTGCTCTGACATGGAGCATGCCCGGAAGGCCCCACACCTGTTCTCCAAAAGGTTCTCTTCCTCCCATGGTGGCTCCCAGGGTACCTCCTCAGCGTGCAGCCCTGTCTTGCAGTGCATCTCCCCAACTCCTTCAGCTTCTCACTCTGCTCTCCCACACTGCCTTACATCTTCCCTGAGGTTTATGAGAGCTGATCCTGCATGCTGCTAAGAGTGTGGATTTTTTTGCAAGCAGGGACTCAAACAGATATTTGCACCCCCATGTGCACAGCACCATTATTCACAACAGCCAAAAAATAGAAGCAGCATAAGCATGCATGAGTAGATGAGTGGATAAACAAGTGTGTATAACCATACAATGGAATATTATTCAGCCTTAAAAAAGGAAACTCTGAACAGGCTACAACATGGATGAATCTTGGGGACATTATGCTAAGTGAAATAAGCCAGTCACAAAAGGATAAATACTATATGATCCTACTTACATGAGGTAGCTAGACTAGGCAAATTCATAGAGACAGAAAGTGGAATGGTGGCTGCCAGGGGCTGGGGGAGGGAGAACGGGGAGTTGTTCACTAGCACAGCACTTCTGTTTGGGAAGATAAGAAAGTTCTGGAGATGGATGATGATGACGGTTGCACAACAATGTGAATGTACTTAATTATTATTGAACCGTATACTTAAAAACAGTTAAAATGGTAAGTTTTATGTTATGTATGTTTTACCACAATTTTTTAAAAAGATTTTATTGGGGAATTGGGGGACGGGAACAGTGTTGGGGAATTGGGGAAGGGGACCAGCCAAGTTGTTGTTCTTCAGTCTTTGTTGTGGAGGGCGCCAGTCGCCATCTGGCTTCCCGTCAGAAGCTCGTGGCCTCTAAGCTCAAGGTGCTGTGTTACAACCTTAGTTGCGGGAGAGCGTAGCCACCATCCCATGCAGGAGTCGAACCCAGCAGCCTTGTTGTTAAGAGCACGTGCTTTATCCACTGAGACATCTGGGCAGCAGCTCAACTCAAGGTGCCGAGTTCAGTCTTAGTTGCGGGTGGACATAGCCCACCATGGAACAGGCAATCTTGTTGTTACACCAGCTGAGCCATCCTGCCACCTGTTGACAGCTCAGCGACAGCTTAGCTCGGGCGCAGTGTCACTGGGAATTGAACCGGCGGCCCTGTTGCTCAGAGCTTGTGCTTTTAAGCTAACTCTTAACCAACTAGGTCACTCGGTCGGCCCTACCACAATGATTTTTAAAGGCATGGATTTGGGAGCCAGTCTGCCTCTTTCACACCCTGCCTTCACCATTAAGTTGGTGGCCTGGAGCAGGTTACTAAACCTTGTGCCTCTGTCCTCATCTGTAAAATGGAAATCCTATGTATCTAAAGTCTGGCTCTGGAGAGTGACACTGACAACCTTTAGAATGAACAAACCCAGGCTTAATAATGGCTGCTGCACCCCCTGAGTGCTCCCCCATGAGATTGAGGAGAAGGGAGCGCCCTTTCCCAATTTGTTTACCTCTAGCCTTCTTCGCCAGGGCTTTGCCATGCTTCTCCTCCCCCTTAAACCTCAGCAACCCTTCACCCCACCCACCATGGGCCCTATGTGTTCCCTGACCTCCTGTAACACATTGTTTTTCAAGCTCAGCTCTGGAGGCGTCGCCACCAGCCCCTGACCGCTGCATCCCCTTTCCCTGCGAGCTCTGAGCAGGTGTCCATCCTCTGTCTCCTAACAGTTTATTTCACCTGTTTATTGAGACACCTGCTTACCCCACTGAATGCTAAGGTCCTGGACAAGGTTCTCAGATGTGACTGGCAGGCCGCAGGAGCACCTTCCCTGAGTCTTCTGCTACCGCAGCCATCCGGTCGTGCACCGCAGTGCTTCCCCTGTCCCGGGAACTGACCTTGAATGTCACGTTCCTTGCGGCCATAACACCCAGCCATGGTGCCTGGTCAGCAAACCCTGCGAGACTGGACACTGGGTATCTTCTCCTGGGGCCTCAGTTTTCCCATCTATAATATAAATAAACGAGGTCATCCAGTTCTGATGCACTGTGGCTTTATGATGGTAAATGGTGTCAAGCTGAGTGTATGCCCAGAGGGCCCATCCAGGTGAGAGGGAATGTGTGCATGCATGCAAATGTTCCCCTTTGTGTGATCAAGCAGGGGACAGCCCCAGCTCCCAATAGAGGAGAGACTTCCCTTCTCTCGCGATCCTGGGGGATAAAGCACCGGGACAGTTCCGCAGTCTCTGAGCGGCCACGGTGGTCGGACGTGGAGGTTAAGGGTTGCGCTGAGCTCGGCCTCTGCTCCGGACCAAGAGAGGGCGCCACAGACAAGCAGATACGGAGGAACAGCAGACAGGCGGGGCTCCTTAGCCTGATAGGGAGGGAGGGGGCCGCCCACGACTCTGGCCCATGCTCAGGCTGACAATGAGAAGAATTATTAATCACGATAGTTATTGTTTATTTAGCGGTATGCTCCCAGACACTGGGCTGACTGCATAACGGGCAGTCTGTCATTTTATTTCCCAAATAGTTTTGTAAATCTGTTATTAAAAAACACCTAGTAGAGCTAAAAGTACTAGAGGCCTGTTCTGCCACTCAGTAGTTGTATGACTTGGGGCATATCTTCGAGCCTGAGGTTTTGCTATATAAAATAGACTTTTTAGCATAACTGCGTGTGTGCGATTGTGCACGAATGTGCATGAATATATGTGTTTGCATGTATGTGTGTGAGTGCGTGTGCTTGCACACATGCATTAAAGGCCTCGGAGAAGTGAGCTGAGGAGTTAAGGGGAGATACCGGGAAGGCAGTTGGCACCAGGCGTTTGGTGCCCAGGAGAGAAGCTACGGTTCCAGATGCATCCTGGGGAACCATGTTTTAGGGTGATAGATTTCGTCCCAGCCTGTTTACAGCAAGGAAACGGGAGTGCTGGGAGCTGGAGCAGGGCAACCCAATGCTTCAGGGGGTGGTGGAGGGCACATGAGTGAGAAGATGGAGAGAGGGATTGGAAAAGGGATGGAAATTGGAGGCATCAAGAAATGCACATGCTGCCAAGAGGGCATCTTGGTGCCTGGGCCAAAGCTGACCCTTGGGAAGGAGGCTGCACAGGGGTTGTGCTTACCGGAACAGAACAGAGCCCCAAAAGGAGGCCCATGCAGTATGGACAACGGGGTACAGGACAATGGTGGTGCCACTTCAAGGCACCAACGAAACAGGGGAGAGATGGGTTATTCAACAAAGGTGGTTGGAAAAACTAGTTAATCCACTGAAAAAACATAAAGTCACTCTTCACCTCACACTATGCTTAAAAATAAATTCCAGATGATTAAACCTTTAGATGGAAAAAAAATAAAAAGGAAAACATTTAAAAAAGGGGAGGGGAGGGCGGCCAGAGTAGCTCAGCTGGTTAAGAGCTCGCTTGGGAGCGCCAGCTCTGAGCAGTAGGGCTGCAGTTTGGATCCCACATTGAGAGCCAGTGATGCTCGCCCTCTACAGCTAAGATGATGAACAACAGCTCGACCTGGAGCTGGGCTGCTGTGAGTCAGAGTCGCCAGCGATGGCGTAAGCTGCAGCGGGCCTGCAGTGGGCTTCCCTGAGCTACGTGAGTGGCTGGCAGCCAGCGTGAGCGGCGAGCTGCCAGGAGCCTCTGTGAGCGGCCCACCAATGACCGGCGACCGATTGCCCCACCCGGGAAGAGCACAATGATCATACCAACATGGGCCAGTGAAGTGACGTCCTCCACAACTAGACTGAAGAACAACAACAAAAAACCCAGCAATTTGTCTACCTGTCTGTTCCCCTTCCCCGATTCCCCAATGCTGTTCCCCTCTCCCCCCAATTCCCCAATAAAATCTTTAAAAAAAAAAAAGTGGGTGGGAGGCTTGTGAGCAGATGGTAAATTTTATCCCAGGAAGCAGGGGTGAGGGAGTGGAGACTGGGAAGGGTGGACCAATCGCTAACTGGGGGTTTCTGAGGACCACACAGAACACACTCCCAATGGCTGTAGCATGTGGGGGTTTCTCCTGCCAATGTTCCCCAGGAATTTCTCTATGGTAGGGACACTTCACACATCCAGGCTCCCTGAGTCAGGAAGGAGAAATGCTGAGGCCAGACACAGCATTTGAAATCATAGGGGTGACCAAGACCAACCTGGGCAGAAGCAGCACCTGCTGCCACAGGTTTAGGAAAGAGAGAAAAGTCTTGACTCCCAAGAATGTGGCTGGCCTAGGGACCTATTTGAACTTGCTTAGACCCTTCCATGTCTTTTTTAAGTCCTGTGTATTTTTCCATAGCTGCAATAATGGAAAGGTATGCGTCTAAGTAACCTGGACGTATCCACTTAATTTTCACACTTGGATCTTTTTTTCTGATGATGCCCATTAGTCCTGACATCGCCATTGCTGAAACCTCCCTGGTGGCTGGACATTCTGGTTGTTGTCAGCATTCTGCTTTTCATATCATAAGGGTTCTGCCACAGGGCCTCCCGACTGATGTGGACATTGCCAGTGGACTGCGCTTTGGCTGCACTGCCATCTCCATTTCCACCTTCCTCACCATTCTCACCATCCCTGTCAACACTGATGGAGAACTTTCTGTGCACCAAGCCCAGTTTCGGGGGCTTTCCAGAAAGTTCCTCTCAACCCTCCTACTAGAAGTAAAGGCTTGGTTGTTCCCCTATTTACTGGTGAGGCACTGGAGCTTGAAGAGTTTAAGTAACGAGACCAAGGGCGTCACCATTTGCATCCTCCTTCTCTCTAATTTGCCCCCAGCCCAGCCCCTTTCCCTATGCCCACATCCCTTCCCATCAAGGTTAGACCCTTTTTCTCTCCATGGTCAGGACATAGGAATAAAGATTTAGCTGCTCTGGGAACTTTTATAGAAAGTATTCTCAGAGAAGAAACCAGGAGGCATTGTGTAGAACACTGGCCTTGGGTGTATCCCTCAGTCTCCTGTGGTTAGGTTAGTAGGGGTTATGTTCTGGGGCTGCTGGAAATACAAAATGAAGGAGCAGACTTTGAGATCATCCCCACTCACCGAGCCACTAACTCCAGTGGTAATGGTCCTGTCTTCTCTTTCTAGCAACAATCAACTTAGCAACAGCCGCTATCATCTACTGGGTGCTTTCTCTGGGCCAGGCTCTGTGTTTAATACTTTACATTCATTCTGTTGTTTCAATCTCAAAACAACCCTATGATTATCCCCATTTCACAGATGAGGAAACTGAGCCCCAGTGAGGTTAAGCAGGTGACCCAAGATCTCCTAGCTAGTAGGTGGCAGTGCCCATGTCAATCCGGCTTGTGAAGCTGACGTTTGCGCCCACAGCCCTGCATTGTACAGTCTCTGTGTCAGCATTTTCCATGGTCCTCACAGCAGTGTTGACAAGCAAATGGAATGAG